TTTTTTTAATAGCAACGTTCAAAAACTTAATTGGTGCAACGTTAACATTTAAATGTTTTAATTTCATTTTAATTTCTTTTAATTAATTGATTCTCTCCAGCTCTATAAATAGGGAGTTCCTCCTCCATTCCAAGACACACCAAATTCAATCTTCTCATTCTTCTCTTTTCTGAATTTCATTCTTTAGCTTTTTCTCTCTTCTAAAAATATTCTGGGTTATCCTTATACTCTCTTTAGAGTTCCTTGCTAGTTCTGAGATCCTCAGACATTCTGAGAAGTTCCTGTTGTATCCTGGGGGACTTGCGCAACACACCGCGGATAAGTCCTTAAGGACAGTGACTCTACACGCCTCAGGAAATACTTTTTGTGTCAGCTTTTCCAACATTGTGTCAACTCTGATCTCTTGCTTTTTCTTTTTCTTTCTTGTTATTCTTTTTCCCTTTCTTGTTGTTCTTTCTTTTTCCTTCTGTGTGTTTTCTTTGCTACCATGGCAGGAATACAAGACCAACAATCTGTTCAGAGTTTTCTCTACCACCATCCAAATGAGAATCCAGCCATTGCTCTGGTTTCACCAGTCTTGGATACTATTAACTATCATTCATGAGTCGTTCAATGGTTACAGCCTTAATCGCTAAGAACAAGGTGGAATTTTTTCTTGGTACTATTCTTCAACAGTCCACAACTGATCCCAATTTTGCTTCTTGGTCCAGATGCAATAGTATGGTTGATATAGAACGAGCTTGATAATTTTAGGCCTGAACCAGTTTGCACCTGCAAAGGTAAGTGTTCTTACAACATCTCCTCTGTACTGACTCAAAAAAGAAAAAATTGAGGACCAGTAAAAAGATCTGCACTTACTGCAATAGAACATGACACATTGTTGATATTTGCTACAAAAAACATGGGTATCCACCGGGACATCCTCTTCATCGAACCAAGCAGCTTCATGTTCATAATGTTCCTGCACAATATGATTATTCTTCTACCAAAAATCTGCATGACAATGACAACATTCGCCTGACTCCACAACAATATCAAATTCTTGTTGAGCTTTTCAAGAATTCTACTTCTAGTTCAACTGTCCAAATCAACCAAATTGGTTATGCCTCTTCCAACAATTCCATAACTGGTAACATTCACTCCATTTTCCACTATAATAATTCCAATCATGTTTGAATCATGATTCTGCGGCCACTAATCATTAAAAAGATAAAACTCATTCAAATCAGCCTTCCTAATGGAAATGTTCTCTCAACTCATTATACTGGAACTGTAGTCTTTAACTACAAAATCAGACTAGACAATGTTTTATAATGTTTAATATGTACCACAATTTTCTTTTAATCTTGTGTCTATTTCTAAAATTGTTGCTTCTCTTCACTATGATCTTATTTTCTCTTCTTTTGCATGTGTTATATATGACATCCCAATTATATAGAAAAACATATATAATAAAGACGTCATCATGCATAATATAGGAAAGCAGTCAAGAGTAATTAGGATTACAATCATTCTCAAAATAGTTTCAGAATTTAAACTTAAACAAAGTAGAGTCTAAATCCGAAAACTTAAAGGGAAAAGTATTTCAAAATACAGGAAGTAACTCATAACACCCTAAGAGACTAGGCAGCAGCATTGTCCTCAACTTCTCCAAAAGAACCTCCTCACCATCTGCTCCCATCCAAATGGATGATCATTGCAAAAGGAAACACATACAACATGCACAAACAAGCAAGGGTGAGCTAGATATAAAAAGCATGTTATTCAATCACACACGGCATGCAAAATTCACTCAAACATGGTAAAAGACATCACAGAACTTGTTTTATAACCCGACTCGTCCGGACTAGAATGATTACCAAGCTATGGCGGATTATGCACTCGTGGTGGCCTCTACTGCTTTGCAAAGCTGTTGCCAATGGGTTCTATCCTACCACACTCACGAGGTTAGTCCGTTTCGCGCCCTGAAGCATACTGGATGCCTCCAAGACTAGGACCTCCTGCTACTACTCACCACATGATTCAATCCTCTCTACTTGAGAATGATTGATCATTGTAGTTTCAGGAAAACCCCAAAAACTGAGCTACCATGCAATCATTCTACACACCACCAGGGCACCACCATGTATCCTCTCCTTGAGGATCATGGAATTACGTCCATGAACCATACTCTCACTTTGAAACTTAACCCAAGACATGAATAACCAGATACCATCATATTATCACAGTGAATCCAACATATCTCATACATTCACATACTTCCCACATAAATCACATCATACTATGCATTCCAAACATTCCACATACTTGATTCAATCAAAAGAGAGACAAGGAAGAGAGAGGACCCGAAGTATTCGCACAACGCACCCCTTAATTTGCTATGCGAATTAACTCGCTGAGGCCACAGGCCTCAGGTCTTCTCGCATAGCGCATCCAAGTCGCTATGCGAGAGCTCAAACAGAGAGTATACCCCCAAACCTTCTCGCTATGCGCCCAACTCGCTCTTCGAATTAAATGGGCAGTGATTCCAGACCACCACCAATCGCATAGCGACAGGATTCGCTAGGCGAATTTCACAAACAGAGAGCAACCCCATCTGGTCACTCGCACAGCGAGTGACTCAAACAGTGAGCACTCTCTGCAGGGTCTCGCTATGCGAGACAGCTCGCATAGCGAGTCTGCATAATCTGCATGACGCAGATTCTGCATAAGTATGCAACTCACACTCCCTTTACCGTTTTTAGTTATTTTCCCCAACTTCCAACCCTCCTAATTCTTGTTCCACACCTAATTAAACTTGTATAAATGATTATAAACGTTCTTAGCATAATTCTAAAGTGATCACTACCAAATTTTAACTTAAACTTCCAATTTTCACTAACCCAAGGACCCAATTTCGATTCTACCATTTTGTACTTGACTTTACTCAGTTTTATGACCCTAACCTGTTCTAATTGCCTCATCCAAGCTAGCCAAACTGCCCAATTGCAATCAGGACTACCTATGCTCAAATTATCTACCTAAGTTCCTTTCAAAAGACACAAAAAAGTACTACCTTAACTATTTACCCTTCTAACGCGACTAACACATGATTTCCACCTCAACCACTCCTTACTAACCCAATTGGTCATCGGAGAAGAATCAAATGTCTGAACAAATCAGTCTCACCTTCAGCGCTAGCACATATGACTAGTTACAACTGACTGGATCAGACCAGGGGTGCTCTATGATCAGGGATGTGCCAACTCAGGTTTTTAAGATTCCTCTATCCTACCAACACAGTACTCTCAATAAGTCATAATTTATTGATCTAAGTCATCCAAACTGTCCTATGGTGTTCTAGACTCCGATTGCCCAATTACAATACTTCACTTCCCTTCTTAGTAACCGAAAAAAATATATGTACAACCACTCACCATCCATATTAACTATTTTACAGCATTCTTACTCCAAACTAGTAATCCAGTATAGCCAACAAGCTCATCCAAGTCAGAGAATACTCAGTATACCATGGTTACACAACTTTCACATATTCAACAAATGCAGCTCAACATGCTCACAACCAAAAATATCACATAACAGTAAGATAAATCACAACTGATCAAACATGCACATCATATAGTTCAAACAAAATATCACTAGCTCCCCTTACCTCAAAGTTGAACTACCAAGCTCACAAGAACGTTCCTTTACGGTATCTCACACAGCGAGAACTCAACCAAACCCTACAAACCACCAAAGTGGTGACAGTAACAGCTCTTAGAGCTTGACTTGGCAGAAAGTATGAAAATGAAACCCCACTAGTAACATGCAACCAGTAATGTTGCATGCCCTAGGTTCAAAGACAGTGAAGCAGAAGGGGAAAAACGAATTATCAGTCCAAACGAAAATACGATCGGTTCAAAAGGAAGCCTTTGGTGTGGTGAACGGATGAGCACCTTCAAACCCAAGATTGAACGGTTCAGTGAGCTGGAAATCTAGAGAGAAGACAGAGAAGATTTTAGGGCAAAGAGTTTTAGAGAGAGATAAAGGGCTCAAGAAATGAATAAGAAATCTGAGAAGCCCTTCCTAAGGTTAAGTTGGCCTTAGTCTGATGGGCTTGGCTAGCTCACATAAGGCCCAATGGCCTTATATTTTTCACGTTCTTACATTATACACGACATGAGAACCAACTAGAAGATTAGTTTAGTTAAGATGCAAGTTGGCTTGTACATATTTAATTACAATTATTTTCTTGACAATATTGAACATTTTGTGTGTATCTCTAAAAATATAAATATTTGGCACTCTCGGTTAGGNATTCTTTTTCCCTTTCTTGTTGTTCTTTCTTTTTCCTTCTGTGTGTTTTCTTTGCTACCATGGCAGGAATACAAGACCAACAATCTGTTCAGAGTTTTCTCTACCACCATCCAAATGAGAATCCAGCCATTGCTCTGGTTTCACCAGTCTTGGATACTATTAACTATCATTCATGAGTCGTTCAATGGTTACAGCCTTAATCGCTAAGAACAAGGTGGAATTTTTTCTTGGTACTATTCTTCAACAGTCCACAACTGATCCCAATTTTGCTTCTTGGTCCAGATGCAATAGTATGGTTGATATAGAACGAGCTTGATAATTTTAGGCCTGAACCAGTTTGCACCTGCAAAGGTAAGTGTTCTTACAACATCTCCTCTGTACTGACTCAAAAAAGAAAAAATTGAGGACCAGTAAAAAGATCTGCACTTACTGCAATAGAACATGACACATTGTTGATATTTGCTACAAAAAACATGGGTATCCACCGGGACATCCTCTTCATCGAACCAAGCAGCTTCATGTTCATAATGTTCCTGCACAATATGATTATTCTTCTACCAAAAATCTGCATGACAATGACAACATTCGCCTGACTCCACAACAATATCAAATTCTTGTTGAGCTTTTCAAGAATTCTACTTCTAGTTCAACTGTCCAAATCAACCAAATTGGTTATGCCTCTTCCAACAATTCCATAACTGGTAACATTCACTCCATTTTCCACTATAATAATTCCAATCATGTTTGAATCATGATTCTGCGGCCACTAATCATTAAAAAGATAAAACTCATTCAAATCAGCCTTCCTAATGGAAATGTTCTCTCAACTCATTATACTGGAACTGTAGTCTTTAACTACAAAATCAGACTAGACAATGTTTTATAATGTTTAATATGTACCACAATTTTCTTTTAATCTTGTGTCTATTTCTAAAATTGTTGCTTCTCTTCACTATGATCTTATTTTCTCTTCTTTTGCATGTGTTATATATGACATCCCAATTATATAGAAAAACATATATAATAAAGACGTCATCATGCATAATATAGGAAAGCAGTCAAGAGTAATTAGGATTACAATCATTCTCAAAATAGTTTCAGAATTTAAACTTAAACAAAGTAGAGTCTAAATCCGAAAACTTAAAGGGAAAAGTATTTCAAAATACAGGAAGTAACTCATAACACCCTAAGAGACTAGGCAGCAGCATTGTCCTCAACTTCTCCAAAAGAACCTCCTCACCATCTGCTCCCATCCAAATGGATGATCATTGCAAAAGGAAACACATACAACATGCACAAACAAGCAAGGGTGAGCTAGATATAAAAAGCATGTTATTCAATCACACACGGCATGCAAAATTCACTCAAACATGGTAAAAGACATCACAGAACTTGTTTTATAACCCGACTCGTCCGGACTAGAATGATTACCAAGCTATGGCGGATTATGCACTCGTGGTGGCCTCTACTGCTTTGCAAAGCTGTTGCCAATGGGTTCTATCCTACCACACTCACGAGGTTAGTCCGTTTCGAGCCATGAAGCATACTAGAAACCTACAAGACTAGGACCTCCTGCTACTACTCACCACATGATTCAATCCTCTCTACTTGAGAATGATTGATCATTGTAGTTTCAGGAAAACCCCAAAAACTGAGCTACCATGCAATCATTCTACACACCACCAGGGCACCACCATGTATCCTCTCCTTGAGGATCATGGAATTACGTCCATGAACCATACTCTCACTTTGAAACTTAACCCAAGACATGAATAACCAGATACCATCATATTATCACAGTGAATCCAACATATCTCATACATTCACATACTTCCCACATAAATCACATCATACTATGCATTCCAAACATTCCACATACTTGATTCAATCAAAAGAGAGACAAGGAAGAGAGAGGACCCGAAGTATTCGCACAACGCACCCCTTAATTTGCTATGCGAATTAACTCGCTGAGGCCACAGGCCTCAGGTCTTCTCGCATAGCGCATCCAAGTCGCTATGCGAGAGCTCAAACAGAGAGTATACCCCCAAACCTTCTCGCTATGCGCCCAACTCGCTCTTCGAATTAAATGGGCAGTGATTCCAGACCACCACCAATCGCATAGCGACAGGATTCGCTAGGCGAATTTCACAAACAGAGAGCAACCCCATCTGGTCACTCGCACAGCGAGTGACTCAAACAGTGAGCACTCTCTGCAGGGTCTCGCTATGCGAGACAGCTCGCATAGCGAGTCTGCATAATCTGCATGACGCAGATTCTGCATAAGTATGCAACTCACACTCCCTTTACCGTTTTTAGTTATTTTCCCCAACTTCCAACCCTCCTAATTCTTGTTCCACACCTAATTAAACTTGTATAAATGATTATAAACGTTCTTAGCATAATTCTAAAGTGATCACTACCAAATTTTAACTTAAACTTCCAATTTTCACTAACCCAAGGACCCAATTTCGATTCTACCATTTTGTACTTGACTTTACTCAGTTTTATGACCCTAACCTGTTCTAATTGCCTCATCCAAGCTAGCCAAACTGCCCAATTGCACTCAGGACTACCTATGCTCAAATTATCTACCTCAGTTCCTTTCAAAAGACCCAAAATAGTACTCCCTTAACTATTTACCCTTCTAACGCGACTAACACATGATTTCCACCTCAACCACTCCTTACTAACCCAATTGGTCATCGGAGAAGAATCAAATGTCTGAACAAATCAGTCTCACCTTCAGCGCTAGCACATATGACTAGTTACAACTGACTGGATCAGACCAGGGGTGCTCTATGATCAGGGATGTGCCAACTCAGGTTTTTAAGATTCCTCTATCCTACCAACACAGTACTCTCAATAAGTCATAATTTATTGATCTAAGTCATCCAAACTGTCCTATGGTGTTCTAGACTCCGATTGCCCAATTACAATACTTCACTTCCCTTCTTAGTAACCGAAAACAATATATGTACATCCACTCACCATCCATATTAACTATTTTACAGCATTCTTACTCCAAACTAGTAATCCAGTATAGCCAACAAGCTCATCCAAGTCAGAGAATACTCAGTATACCATGGTTACACAACTTTCACATATTCAACAAATGCAGCTCAACATGCTCACTACCAAAAATATCACATAACAGTAAGATAAATCACAACTGATCAAACATGCACATCATATAGTTCAAACAAAATATCACTAGCTCCCCTTACCTCAAAGTTGAACTACCAAGCTCACAAGAACGTTCCTTTACGGTATCTCACACAGCGAGAACTCAACCAAACCCTACAAACCACCAAAGTGGTGACAGTAACAGCTCTTAGAGCTTGACTTGGCAGAAAGTATGAAAATGAAACCCCACTAGTAACATGCAACCAGTAATGTTGCATGCCCTAGGTTCAAAGACAGTGAAGCAGAAGGGGAAAAACGAATTATCAGTCCAAACGAAAATACGATCGGTTCAAAAGGAAGCCTTTGGTGTGGTGAACGGATGAGCACCTTCAAACCCAAGATTGAACGGTTCAGTGAGCTGGAAATCTAGAGAGAAGACAGAGAAGATTTTAGGGCAAAGAGTTTTAGAGAGAGATAAAGGGCTCAAGAAATGAATAAGAAATCTGAGAAGCCCTTCCTAAGGTTAAGTTGGCCTTAG